TTTTTATTATTAATACAGTTGCAGCTGCAGCGGTGCTGGGGTGTGCTGTGTCTCACACAGAGGGTGGGCGGTGGGTCCCTGAGCCCGGCCGGGGGGGACACAGGGGGTGTCTGGCACCAGCCCTGCCCCGGGGGGAGCGAGGCAGCAGCGCCCAGGGGGTGGCATGGGAGGGGAAGAAGTGTCCTGAGTGAAGAGCTGGGTGAGTTCTACAGCTCTGCTGCCTCTGGAGCTGACCAGGAGTGGAGACTCCAGCTGAGGAGGTGGTGGCTGGGGACAGGGACGATTCTCCAGGCATTTCACCTCCTGGTAAAACAGGCTGTGGATTTCAGCCAGGGATTTCCTTCCACTCCTCTCCTCCAGCCCCCGCTTGCCTCTCTGCAAACCTCCCCCTCGGTGCCTTTCTGCAGGTGAGCTTGGGAAGTTCAGTGCCTGATGTTTTTGGGGTTTGAGGTTGTGGCCGTGCCAGAGGTGCAGCCCCCACGATGAGTTCACTGGGGTGAGGTGTGGGGTGGTGCAGAATAAAGAAAAGCTGCGTGCAGGGGACTGGCAGCCCTGGGTAAGGTGCTCCCGGCACCAGCCCTGCTCCTGCCTGGAGATTTTGAGGTTGGCTGCCTGGAAAAGAGCAGAGGTAAGGAGCAGTGACATGTCTGGTTCACAGGGCATGTGGGAATGGGTAACTGCCAGGCCTAGGGCAGGTAGGCGCTTGTTTGGGCAAGGGCACAGATTTCCAAGGACTGTCCATGGGGGAGAATTTGGTCCTGGGACTGCTTGCTGGGTCCTGTCCCACCCCTGTTACTGTGGGATGTGGTCAGATCACTTCGTCTCCGGGTTGTGTCCTTCCTGAGATCAGGTGGAATTGTGGTGGACACGTTTAAATGCCGAGGCAGCGCGCTCTGAGGGGGTGACAGTGAAAACTGCTGTCACCCCTGAACCTGCTGCCCTCCTCGCTCGTCCCTGACCTGGGCACTCACCAGGCACCTTCAGGCAGCAGCTCCTGAGCTGGATCTGCTGTACCAGACCCAGCAGTGTCCATCCACCCCTGGGTCCTGCCTGCAGGTCCCAACCCTGGGAAAGCTGGACAAAGCCAGAGTGAGCAGCCCTTGAGCCTGACGGCTCCATCCCGCACTGGGTCAGGTCTGCAAGAAGCTGAGCCTGGAGAAGAGGAGGGGGACCAAAGGCAGGTCAGTGCCCTGGGGACACCAGCTCTGAGAGAAGCTGGTCTGACAGAGGGACAAGATTTAGTCCTTTGGGTGGCTCTTGGGTGTCCGTGGCTTGGTTTGGTGGGTGAAGCGCCCATGTTTGGGTGACCACGGAATTGCTGGGGGATGTGCCATGACTTGGACAGCACAGAAATGCCTGCTGTGGTGTTTGGGGACTCTGGGGCACTGTCCCAGAGCAGATCTGATGCTTTGGGGGGACTCAGCAGAGCTGTGGGAAGAGCTGCATCCCAAGCTGCTGTGGGGGCAGCAGGAAGCTGTGGGAGAAGCCGCCAGCAGAACGTTGGGTTGAGGGGATCTCTGGCAGCAGATGTTGGTGTTGTGGAGGGCACAGCTGGGGCTGGCTGGGGGTCTGGGTTGCTCAGGTGCCACAGAGAGATTGGGACAGGGTGCTGATCCCAGCATGAGGCTTGGCAGTGGGAGTGTGTCTGAGGAAGGTTCTCTGCAGAGTCCTGGGTGGGCAGCGGGTCCAAGGTGGAAGCCCTGCAGGGCATATATGGGCTGTGGCTTCAGGTGTTGGGAGCTGGGAAGTGGTTTAGTTCATGCAGTGAGGTTTTCTGCCTTTGTTTAATGGCTTTCCAGAATCTGAGTGAAAATGGGCAAGGGGGGTGAGGCACAGGAGTCAGTTCTGACTTTGTTTTGCCTCACCTGGGATTGCCCCAGCCTTGGCCTCACCAGCACATCTGGAGTGGTCAGACTGAGGAATTCCCACAGGAGATGCTGCTCCATGTCCTGCACCTCTGGGGAAGAGCTGGGCAGCCCAGGACCTTCTCAGCCTAAAACTGTGACAGGTTTTATTTGGTGTGAGAGTTTATCAGAGAGGAAAATGGGCAGACTTGTGCTTCTCCGTGGGGCGTAATGACCCCAAGGTCACTGGGGGTCCCAGCCTGCAGGGAGAGGGGACAGTGGCAGGGCAGGCTCTCTGCAGCTGGTTTTTGCTGCCTTTCCAACACCTTGGCTGTGGTTTTACACATCCTGAATCCACCCAGGCAGGTTAAACAGCCTGTTCCTCCACCAGCGAGGGAATGTGTGCAAAAGCCTGGCTGCCTTCCAGTGGCCTGTGTAAGGAGAGAGTCCTGCTCCCTGCCACTCTCAGAAAATGCAAACAAAGCTCTGACCCCCATGACTCCTCCTGCCTGGGATGGTGCCATCCCTGCCCTGGTCAAGGTCAGGGAGCAGGAGCAGAGGCTCTGCGCTTGTCCTTGTCCCTGTGTGGGCAGAGGTGGGAGCGTCTCTGTGCCCGTACCAAGGACAAATGTGTTTGCAGCCAAATCTGCCCTGGGGTAATCTCTGCAGTGCCAGCAGCCCCCGGCTCCCTCTGCCCCGTGCAGATGGGGGGTTGGTTTTACTCTTTGTGAGGGTGTCTGGCTACCACAGGAAGGTGAGAGTTGGCAGAATTTGGGCAGTTGCAGTGCTGGAGGCAGAGGACAGGGGATGAGGCCAGACAGGCACACTGGCCACGAGGTGAGAAGTGGTCTTGGGGCTGGAAACCGAAGCTGCTGTCCAGGAGCCTTGTGGGGATGTGGCTGTGTGTCTGTGCTGTGGCAGGGCTGTTGCTCAGCCCCTAAGGGGATACCCTGGCTCCTGGGAAGCCTCCTGACCCTGGCTGTGCCAAGCCTCGGGTGAGCACAGCGGAGCAGATGGTGAGCCCCAGGGTGTGATCACACCTCCATCTGTCCTGCCTCGGGGCTGGGAGCAGCCTGGCAGGGAAGGAGCGAGTGCTCCTGCCTTGTCATATTTGGCCATTTTAATTAGAGAGGTTCAGGCCTGGGGCAGGGTTTGGCTGGAGGGAGCCCACAGGTGCTGCCCTCGGGCTGCCCATGGGCCATCCTGGGCTGGCACAGCCCTGTCAGCACTAATGTGGCCCATGGGCACTGACCTCCTGCCTCTCTTGCCACTGGCAGGTACCCTGTCCCACACCCTCATGCTCTGGCTACTCTTCCTACTGATTTAGAGCATCCTCTTCTCTGCCAGGTGCATTGGGAGCAGGATCCTGACAGCCCAAACTGCAGGGTCTCTGCAGGATGTGCCAAGGGGGGGTCTGGTCTCTGTGGAGGGGGAGCTCTGAGCTGGGGGCTCTGGCCATGCACTGCCAGGCTGCTCCTGCAAGCTGGAACTTCTCCCTGGATCCAGGACTTCTCTGATTTACTCCATGCAGTCGTGGAACAGCAGGAGGGAGGCTTGGTGTGAATGAACCGGTTTCCTCCTCTACCCTGAAATTTGGGTCACACAACCCAACATAGCAGAGCTGTGAGAGATGTAGTTCATCCTCAGTTCAAGCCCGAGCCAGCTTTGATTTCTGAGGTACAGCTGCTGGTGGTTCAGAGGGTCCATTGGAGCTGTGGCTCCATTAGTGGATCAGCACGTGGCAGGCAGGAGGTGAGAGGGGTTTTTCCCCTCCCTGATCAGCTCCCACATTGCCAGTGTTCCTCTCTGGCCCGCTGCTAATTTTGACGCTGCCCTAAATAGAAGCTGAGTGCATCTCATCTGCTTTGCTTAGCATACAGGAAAATTGTTTTCCTTCATTTACCCAATCCAACTTGTGGCTTTAACCCTGTCAGCACAAGTGTCTCCCCACTGCAGAACTCCCATGAAGGGCTTTGCCTGTCCCTGCCGTGGGAAAGAGCTTTGAGGGGAGCAGCAGTCTGTGTGGTGGGATTGGGAGGGCTCCCAGGCTGCCCAAAGTGGCCACCAGCAGAGCTGGGAGAATGACTTTGCTTCACCAGCAGCCAAGGGAATCCCTTGCTCTGCTGGGAAGTCTGGCTGTGTCCTCTCTTTCTCTCTGGTGGAATGTGCAGCCCCTCAGGAGGAGCCCAGTGCCCCTTCCCAGACTGGCCACTGCCAGAAAATAGCTCAGATAGACCCAGTTCTAAGAGGTTTTGGCTGCTTTCTGTTGTGAATTTTTTTCCAGCAACTGTGGTGGAACCAGCTTGGTGTGTAGGGAATATCCCCAAGCCTGGCAGATTCCCCTCTTATCACTGGCTAATTTTATCTCTGAGTCCAAGTGACTCCTTGGAAGGATCTGTTGTTCCTGCTGCTCTGTCTGTTCCAGATCAGGACACACAGCCCCTCTCCCTGCTGGAAGTGGCTTGGAGAGGCTGCCTCCAACACGAGCTTCCTGCAGCACAGCTTAAATATATCCCTGTCCAGTGCAAGGTGCCCATTTGGGGCTCTTGTGCAAGAGCCGTTGTCCTGAAAAACTGTAATTTAGTGGCATTTTCAGCTGGGTGACTGCTACAAGTGCTGTGCTGAGGACACAGGGGCAGCGAGGGGAAGTGTTGGGGTGTGAGGAGCAGTGGCCTGGAAAGGTTGGTTTTAGCTGGTGGAAAAAGCAAACCCTGAGCTTGGGCTGAGCCCTGGGTGAGCGCAGGGCAGTGCTCCAGCCAGGGTGGCTGCACAGTTCCCCTCATGCCACTCTGAGCCCAGCCCTTTCCAGCCCAGAAGCTCCCCTGGGAGCGGTGCCAGGGTGAATGCTGTCTCCTTCCCCCTCTTGCCCATTCAGCCTCCAGGTGCCTCTGGCTGCTCTGCAGTGACAGCGGCTGCATGAGGCTCATCCGTGCGCCAGGCTGGGGTTTGGGCTGCAGCAGTGCCTGGAGCCTCTGGGGTCAGAGGGACCGAGGAGCAGAGACCCCAGCAGGCTCCGGACTGTGGGGCTTGGTCCGCTGGGGCACAGCCCTGAGCAGATCAGGAGAGGGCACGGCTGCTCCTGAGGCTGCACTGGATGGAGAGATTGATTCGGGGATTTGTTTGGAGTGTTCTGACTCTGCCTCTCCTCTCTCTTAGAAAATCAACCGGACCCCTTCGGACGAGGAATGCTTCTTTGACCTGTTGAGCAAGTTCCAGAGCAACCGGATGGATGATCAGCGCTGCCCGTTGGAGGAGTGCCCGGCCGAGGCTGCGGAGGCAGCTGCCACGCGGGTCCCTGCCCTGGGAGAGCGGATATGTGAGCACTGATGCGTTCCCAAGTCCCTGTTCCTGTGGGAGTGACGCGGCTCCCGTGGCGTGCCCAGCTGTTGTGGTTTGCCGTGCATCCCGTGATGTTTTCCCTGAGCCTCAGCTCTCTGAACTTTAGCAGTTCCTTGGCAATCTCCGTCATTATTTAAGGAAGGAAAAAAACATTCTTATGTAAATGGTTGCCGAGGGAAAGGCTGGAGAATGTGAGCTAAGGTTTGGGGAGTAAATTAGCGAGAGGAATGCAAAATACACTTGGATTTTTTCAGTGTGGGTCTTTAGGTCTTGGATTCTGAACAGGGAGGTTGGCACAAGGACTTGTGACACTTCCAGTACCTCCAGGAGGAAGATGATGATGGCCATTGCTGAGGGAGCTTTGTGAGAACCTGGTGTCTGGGATGTGCAGGGGCCAGGTCAGGCTTTCTCAGGCAAGTTAAAATATTGCCAGTTTTTGTAACAGCGTTGCCATGGAGGAGAAACTTCTGGGTTTTGTACTGTTCTTGGATGCGGTGGTGATAGGTGCTGTATGAGGACAGAGGAGCCAGAAGGATGGATAAACAGTGGGAAGCTGCTCAGGCAAACAGCCCTAGGAAGGATGGGGATAAATTGAGGAAGGCGCCTGACAAATGGGGCAGGAAAGGCAGGGCTCTGTTTGCACTTGGGTTTTGTGGCTTTTTCAGTGTTCAGGGCCTTTGTTTAACCCAAGCGGGGGAGAAGCTCTAAAATGCACGGATCACCCTCACGCACTTTAATCACCAGCACAAAGGGCTCAAACCAGTTATTTAACCTGATGGATTTGTTCATCATCAGTTTCCAAATGAATATGAAGTGCAAACGGGAGAGGAGCCCCCTGACACCACTCCCAGAGCCGCAGCACAGGGAGCATGTGCCAGGGCAGGGGCTGAAGGCCAGCCTGTGGCAGGAAGGCAGTTTGGCTGTGAGGTGAGAGGGTTTTATCATCTAAAAATAAGGTGGAGAGCATTGCTTTGTCAAGAGATGTGTTTCTGACACACAAGTGCATTTGGCTGTAACAGCTGTGTAATTTAGGAGATTGGGTTGAAAATGCGGAGCTTTATAAAGAATGCACGAGCAGCCCCACGTTCTGTTCGGCTCATTTGGGCTTGGAGCCTTTTGGACGTGTTATTTTTGAGGATTCTTTGTGAGCTGAAGGGGAGGAAACTCATCCCTGCGTCAGTACTGAGATTTTCTTGTGTTTGTGCAGCTCCATGAGCTGGGGCTCCAAGGACTTGTGTCAGGAGGCTCGGGGCAGGCTCTGCTCCAGTGCTTTGTGCTCAGGGAAAGTAACACCACCTGGGCTGGGTTTCTCAGTTTTCCTTTGATGGTTCCTGTCCAAGTGCAGTGTCTGTTGTTTGGGAGCCCTCCCCTACCCAGCCACTGCAGGAGCCAACAGGCTCTTTGTGTAGGTAGTGCTGCCCAGGGGTGTTTCCAAAGGGTCAGAGGTGGATAGATGACATGCACTGGTTCTGGACTGGGACCCCCAGCACAGCCCAGGCTCTGCTCGGTGGGATGAGAAGAAGCAGAGCTCAGGAGAGTTTTGCTGGTGCTGACGCAGGTCCTGCAGCCCGTGACAGCCGGACTCACCTCGGCAGTGCCTCTCCTTGAGCAAACACCCTGCATTTCTGGGGGGCTTGGGAAAGTGCTGCCAGGTGAGAGGCTCAGCCAGGCCTGGGCTTTGCTAATGGCCTGTCTGCAGTTATTCCCAGGTGCTGGGACTGTGTGGGTGCCTGTCACAGCCACAGGGACCATCAGGAACTCTGTGCGATTGCCCAGCTCTGCCTGTGCCTCTTGGTGCAGGTGGAATCCAGAGTGGAAGGGGCAGTGCTGGAAACAGCAGGGATGGTACACGGGCAGTGGTTCAGATCCCACTGGAGCTCCTGGGCTGAGGTGGCACCTTTGGTGGCCTCCAGGAGCTGGCCAAGCAAAGGCAGGGAGCCCCACAGGGGAGCCAGCTGTGCAAGGCGGGTGTGTGAGGTTCTGCTTTATCAAGGCACCTGATTCCCCTGCTGCTGCCTGCTGGGTTTGTGTGGCTTGGAGAGGAGTCTGGGGAGGGGGATTTAGGCTCAGGAGGGGCAGGCAGAGCTGTGACCCTGCCGTGTGCTCCTCTCCCCCAGCACAGTCCACCCTGATGGCATCTCCACAGACAGAGGAGTTCTTTGACCTCATTGCCAGCTCCCAGAGCAGGCGTCTGGATGACCAACGTGCCAACGTGGGCAACCTGCCCGGCCTGCGGATAACCCACAACAACCTGGGCCACCTGCGTGTGGAGGGGGATGCCCAGGAGCCCGGGGACGAGTTCTTCAACATGCTCATGAAGTGTCAGGTATGGGCACAGGGCTGGGGGAGCTCTGACACCTCTGCTCCAGCCCCTTCCTCCATGGCAGGGCTGTCCTGGCCCTGTGCTAATGCCTCTCTCCCCCCTGCAGTCATCCAGGATCGATGACCAGCGCTGTGCTCCACCAGACTCCATCCCCCGGGGCCCCACCATGCCCGATGAAGACTTCTTCAGCCTCATCCAGCGTGTCCAGGCCAAACGCATGGACGAGCAGCGTGTGGATTTGGCCTCAGCCCAGGAGGAGGCTGAGGAGGAGCAGCAGAGGCCTGGTTCCAGCTAAGAACTGGGCTTTGGTCTGGGGGGGTTGTTTCAGCTTATTTTGTTTTTTAAAAAGGAAAAAGAGTAGGCGGTTTCAAGCCCAAATGCTTCTGTGCTCCCAGTCTTGTCCTGGGAGCTGCACCTCCATCGTGTTCCTACAGGACAGCCCAACGGATGTGGGACAGTTTTTAAATAAGGGGTTTTTTTAGGACACTTGGCCACTGTAACTCTGGGCACAGCACCTGGAAGACTTTAGCAGCCCCTTGCTCATCACCTAAAACCCCAGGAACTTGGAGGAGCCCACAGGGGGTAGTTAACTCCAGCCTTGATGTCTTTTATTTCCACACTTCTATTTGAACAGGGAAAGGGAAGAACACCTTTTCCATTTTTAAGTCCTCCTGTCTTCCCTGACAGAAATGGCTCTGGATCCTTTTCTGGAACATCTTGTTCAGCTTTGTTCCTTCTACAGGAGAAAAAGAGCCCAAGTCCTTTAAACCTTACTCCACCCCAGCTGCATTGTGGTCCCACACACCTGAGTGTATTTTAGTTTTGCTGAGGACTCTCTGGAGAACCTTGGACATTGTCTGCTTCCAGCTGCAGCCCTGCAGGACCTCCTGAGCAGGACAAACCCTCACTCACCCTGAGCTTTAGTGGGATTTGTTACCTCTGGAGCCCACTGCACCCCCATGGCAGGGGCTGTTCCTGGGCAGGAGGAAGGAGGAAAGAGTCTCTGCCCCAAGTGTTCAGCCCATGGCAAGCAGGGACAGCTTCTGCTCCCACTGAGCCAATGTGAGGGTGTTCAAGACAGAACCTGTGTGTGACAAGAGCCCTGCTTCAACAGCCAGCAAAGCTTTCTGCCCATGGCTCGTCCCTCCTGCATTCTGTGTCCAACAGCAGCTTGGGCCAAGGGCCCCTCCCTCCCCTTGTTTCTCCCTGACCCAGCACTGAGCTGCTCGTGATGAGACACTCTGGTTCTGTCCGCCTGTCTCCAGCCACTGGAGCCTCAGGAGAGCCCCAGCCTGGGGGGCTGGCTGGGAACTCACATTTACTGTCATTCCTTCCCCTTTTGGACCAGCTGGAAAAGCTGGAGGAGGGGAGCAGGGACCTGACTTGAGGAGGTGCAGTATTTTTCCTTTGCTTGACCAGAGACTATGCTGGACTTCAGAAACTCCAGCGCCGAGTTGTGCCGAAGCAGCGTCGTTCCTGCAGAGAATAAATCAGCACTTTCCATTCAAAATGCATTTGATGGAAACATTCCCAACCAGCAGGGAGATATTTTTAGACCAGTGATGCTGCTCATGGGGCATTTACCCTGCCTGCACTGACCATGTGGAGTGGTAGCTGCAGTTTACCTGCTACCTGGGAGCACTCACCTGCTGCTTGGCTGGGGCTGGGTAGAGCTCTGGAGAGGGGAGAGGAGGAGATGCCCATCCTGTACCTACCAGCTAAGCTGGCATTTGTAAAAGAGGAAAACAATGATGATGAGTACCTGACCAGCTGCAGGCTCAGGCCTCTGCAGCTCTCAGCCAGGTGGTGAACTGGAACCTGACCATTAAGCTTTCAGAGGTATTATTGAGGTATTATTTGCCATATACTTGAATGTATGAGCTTATTTATTTTTTACATGTGCATTTGCTAATGTCATTTTAATGGGGAATTTCCAACCCACAGGTACTTGTTTTTTTTCTAAAAAATAATCTGCCAAATGGATTAATATATTAGAAATGAGTACAGCTCAAGGGGAAGGGGTGGGGGGAATTGTGCTTAATAAATATTTGTGTCTAAGCTTCAGTGCAAATACTCATTTCCATTATTTCTTGGCTGACAGCAGGATTAATCCTGGCCCTTTGGAATAGGGATGGGGGTGAATGGGGGGGGGGGTCTCTGGTAACAGACACCACCACCTGTGCTAAGAAATGTGTTGTGCACCCACCTCCACATTGCTTTAGACTTTAGGGGGCTCTTGGCAGCCACCACCATCCCAGCTCTGCCTGCCAGCATGGATGTGGCTGTGGAGAGAAGGCACAAAGCCCTGAGAATTCCCTGCCCAGAAGTTTCCAGGACTACAGGGCAGACAGAGCAGCCCTGCATGGCTGAGGAGAGGCTGAGCAGTTCCTTTCAGGCTCTGCCCAGTCCTGGTGCCACTCCGGCGCCTGGCCCAAAGCTGGGTTGTTCCCCAGAGCCAGGGGACAAGGGCAGGGAGTGCTGGGCACAGCCCTGGCTCCAGCCCTTGGAGCAGACACACAGCAGCAGCACAGCAGCCATGAGCAGGCTGTTGGACCGGGCTGGGAGCAGCAGTTTGGATCCTGAGCCGTGTGAGGATGAAGCCAAGTCATGGCTGGGTTTCCCATGTCTGGCTCATTTATGCTGGCCACTGCCAGCCCTGATCACAGATTAATAAAGAGCCACCAGCTTGTTCTCATCAGGTGTTCTCACACCTCTGTGTGCCTGGGCACAGCAGCCCTGTGTGTGAGCTGGGGACAGAACCCAGGTGTGCAGAGGCTCAGATGCCCAGGAGCAGGTGAGCCCTGGGAGTGAGTGATGGTGTCTCACCTCCTGTGTCTCCATCCTGAGCAGCACAGGCTCACTCTGAGCAGAAGGCACTGGCTACCATTGAGTCTCCAGAGCAGCCTGCAGCAGCGGCTGCTGTGCTGTATCCTCCTCTCTCCCACGCTGCCAGGCTCGTTCCCACATCGGGAAGAGCTCTCTGCTGCTGACATCCGCTGGAGAGGCGCGGCATTGCCGGCCCGTGAAGTGCTGCTGCTGCAGCTGTGGAGTTACTGGGAGCAGAGCTGTCCCCAGTGTAGGGCAGGTCCTTGTGAGGAAGAATCTTAAAAAATCCAGCAGAAACACGAGATCCTGCCCTCTCCTACCCAGCTGTACACAAGCATCCAGAGGCACTCACAAGACAGGGCTGATGTCAGGCCTGGAGAAAGACACTCAGGAGAAAGGCTGCTTCTCCTCCCTCCCTGCCTCTGGCTAAAGCAAACCCATGTGCTTACCTGTGTCCCTTTCCAGAACAAACCCACTGCCCCATGACACAACGTTTTTTAGAAGAAACAGCTTAGAAAGGGAGCGAAACATTCAGCTGAAACCCTGAAATCTCTTAGAAGCAAATATTTTTGTACTGTGTGCAAATTCCTTCCCCTGATGTTGGCCTGAACCTTCAGAGCAGCAGCAAGAACTGCCACCCTCCATGCCCAGAGCTACAGAGGACCCCCAGGGCACAGGGACCTGTCTCTGTCCTGCCCCCAAAGAGCACCTGGTGACAGAGGGCACTGGGACAAGGAAACACTAAAATCTAGGAACAGCCAACATAGATTTTGCTACTTTTTACTATAACACAGCAAAAATTCACACGACCTTCCTGTAGCTGGGGCCCAGTAACAGGTAAGAAAGGTAAGGAAAACAGTATAACAAAGCCAAATTGTAAATTAGTTGTTTCCAAGGCAACACAGATCCTGCAACAGCTGCTCTGTTCTACCCCATCAAAGGTATCAGCACCATGGAAGCAGAACACTGATTTTCAGATTAAAGGTAATAAAACAAACACTTTGCCAGCGGTGCTAATAGGTGCCAGCAGCACAGCTCAGGGGGAGAACACAGCAATCCTGGGTCACTCCAGCAGCTGGCTGTTTCAGGGAGAGCTGTGTCTCACCAGGAGCTGGCTGATGAAGTTGCTGCCCCTGTTTCATCACTCTGCACTGACACGCCCACAGGAACTTTCCTGGTGCTCTGACCCAACACTTAGAATGCAACACAAATAAAATAGTAACAAACACTCCAGATGAAGGAAAGTCATTAATGCCTGCAATGCCCTCACTGAATCCTTGGCTGATGAAGCACCACAGGCACCTGGAGTTGCCTGGCTGTGAGAACTGGGTTTGCTCAGCCCAAGACACAAAGGCTGAGAGAGGTTTTACTGCCACTTTCTGTGGCTTAGTGATGAGGGGGATCCACAGAACTTGTGGCATCTCCACCCTTAGAGATACTCACAAGATCCTGAATATCCTCCTCTGACAAGCAGATTAGACTCCAGAAGGCTCTTCCAAACTTAATTAGTCTTTGGCAAGCTGAAAACCCTAAGAAAGCAGCTATCCCACAGCCCTAACAAAGCACAACATGATCACCTCAGTGCCTGATCCACCACTACTAGAGCTGAGTGCTGACAAACTCCTACATCTGTCATTCATTACTTTTTAAATCTCTAACTAATCTTAACATACTGCAATAGCACTAATAAGCCCCTCAATATCTGCCAAGACAACTTTCTAGGTCCTCCACCTCTCTCCACCATGCTCCACAACTATTAATTTTGCCTTCACACCCACACACTCCCCCTCACCAACAAGGAGTTGTAAAACCCCCATGCTGGAGCTCGAGTGGGATCAAAATACAAAACTTTCAACCCTGACATGAGTGGCACAGAAACAAAACTGTGGAAGATGTCAAAAGAACAGATAAAAGCGGCATTTGGCTGCATTAAAAGCAGGTGATCTGACTTTCCTGCAGGGTCATTTTAGCTTTAGAATTTTGGGACCTATCTCCTCAGGTGGTATCAATTGCTCCCTTTCAGTTGCCACACCTGAGCATCCCTAAAACCTCCAGCTCCAGCTGCATCTCACTAGGTTAAACACACATAGACAAAGAATTTCTGGCTGCCTTCTCAGCAGGGAACAAAACCAGGCATGGGACATTGCTGAGGCACTGGAAATTATTGCCTGAAAGTCAGCAAAACAAGTACCAGAAAAAAGAGCAAAAAAAATCCACAACCATCTCTAAAGATACCAGCTTGATCAAAGGCAAACTACACCAGGCAAAGACACAACAGAGAAAACCCAAGCCCAAGTTTATTTTAAAAACAAACAGTTGAAATCAGAGAATGAAGGTGAACAGTCTCTTGCCACAAGCAGAATGATCCAAATCCCACATGGCAGGTCTGTCCCACAGGCCACAATGCCACGTGTCACATCTGTCCCACAGGCCACAATCCCTCGTGTCAGGTGTGTCCCTTGCTGCCAGGATCTGGGGGGGCTTCCCCGCCATCCCCCTCTGCCAGCTGACCTTGGGGCCTGGGCTCTGCCGAGCTTTCCAGCAGCAGTTCCAGGGCTTCCTCACCAGCCACACGTCTCACCTTCTCCCCTTTGGCAGCCAGGATCTCCTCGATATTCCTGGACAGTGATTTGAGAACCAACAGTGACACCACAGCAAAGGCCCACTGCACTCTGCCCTCAGGACTGACACTACACAGGGAATCACAGGCACATCCCCATGAAAACCACCCAAAATTAACCACAGAAAACCACCCCAACCTTCTGGGAGTACTTTCATCCACTAGGATCAATAATTTAACAATTAGAGCTAAACAGAAGCTTTTAAAGATATCTCAGGAAGTTAGAAATCACTGGAATTCCACAGCAGATCAATCTACACACTTGAAACATCCAAGAAAACCCAGCAGTGAAATGATAAGGCCTGAGGGGAACAACATATCACCTGCTGGCAGCAATAAGGATCCCTGTGTATCCCACAGCTTCGGCTGCAGCTTCACACCAATTTATTTGGATCCCAGACAGCGACAGTCTGGAAATTATAGTAACTGAAAATAGAGTCTGTGTATTTTAACAAACTGGATGAAACTCTGTTTCTGGTATGAGCCACATTTCAAAAAAAAAAAAAAATCAGTGAAACGAGATACCAGCACAGGAAGCTGCGCCTAGGAGCAGGGTGTGAGGAGGATCCTGCTGACACTCTCACCTCTTTCCCTCCAGGTCGGAGAACCAGCCCAGGTTATCGGCGATGACATGGTGGTTCCCGCAGCCAGGACATGTCACGATCACCACCCCTCGGTGGTAGGCAGCCTTAGAGATGGATTTGGCCGAGCGGGTCTGGCACACCTAAAAAACAAAATGAATTTTATGAGCAGGGTAACTGCAATTCCTGGAACTTTTAAGACAAAAATACTTTTGCCATTAAAAGCGTCTTACTTCTCTCACCTCGTAACTATCCTAAGTCGGCTCCATCCTGTTACAATGTCGTGAGTTCAGGCCGAGACACAAAGGCTGAGAGAGGTTTTACTGCTTTCTGTGACTCCCTAATGAGGGGCATCTACAGACACTGTGGGATCTCCACCCTCAGACATACAAGATCCCGAACATCCTTCTCCAACACGAAGGATTTGAAACCTCCAGAGTGCTCTTCCATTCTGAGTTAGTCTTTGCAAGTTTAAAACTAAGAAAACAGCTACACCAGGAGCCCCCCGGCCACCCCAGCGACGGTGCCCTCAGAGCCCCCTGGCCCCGCGCCCACCTTGCAGGTGTACACCAGGCGATAGTGCGTGGCCGGCGGCGGCCCCGGTGCGGTGCAGAGCGGGCGGGCCTGGCCCCAGAGCTGTCCCGGGGCGGTGCAGAGCGGGCGAGC